TACTGTGATACCCCCTATTACTGTTATCCCGATAACCTGCTCTGAAGTTCTGTACTAATTACACTGTAATATCTTAGTTGGCTTTATTCTGTCTTGTTCTGTTGTATATTTTCAAAATAAAATTTTAAAAAAGACAGTGTAAGTAAAGCAGGGCTTCAAATTAAGTTAATAGGAATTTAAGGATGGTTAATATAGTACATCCTGCTGTTTTTGACATATCTATCTGCGCCCTCAAATCTAGTTCAGATAGACAGACTGGTACAGAATATAATCAAACTAAATAGAGTGATGAGAATTAAGTGGGTTTTAAATCCTGATATACTATTAACAATGTCCTGTGTCTTCCTTTTTTAGACAAGCCCTCCCCTTTCACTTTCACAGGTGCATTGTACATTTTGTGTCCCACTAACTCCTTTAGTTTTTAGATTAGTGGCAACCCGCTATTTATGTAAGTGGTTCTGAACCTTTTTACTTCTGAGCTTGATCTTGTTGTATTCATTTACCTACAAAAGCCTCAAGGTTTTCCTTCCTTATAGCTGAGTAGTTCTCCACTGCACAAAAGTGTCATGTCTTTCAAACCTATCTGCAGCTGCTGGATAAGCTGCTACTATTTTTATGGTTCCCTGTCACATAAGGCTTTATTTTTTCATCTTTGACTTTCCGTCCTTAGATCCTTTTTCAGGTTTATTATATTTCTTATACAGAGCATCTCAATAGACCCTATCTCCTGATCTACTCTGCCTGTGCTTCTTTTTATTAGTGTATCAAGGCCATCTATGTTAAAGATCATAGCCAACCTTCTCTGTCTCATCTCTACTATGCTATTTTTCTGACAATGGTTGTCTACTTTTCCCCTTCATTCTACTGTCTACCTTGTTCATTGAGGCCCTCTCTGCCACTATTCCTGAAATGCTGGTGTTTTTTTTTTTTTCTCTCTCTCTCTCTAGAATGTCCTTCAGTATTTTTGGTAGGCTTGGATAGGTGGTCATGAATTCCCCCAGTTCATCTTTGTCGTGGAAGCATCTTGTTTCTCCATTAATTTTGAGAGAGAGCTTTACAGGGTACATCAATCTGGGTTGGAGGATATTTTCATGCAGGGCTTGTAATACTTTTCTCCAAGCTCTTCTTGATTTGATTGTTTGTGTTGAGAAGTCTGTCATGATTTTGATGGGTTTTCCTTTATAGATGATATATTTCTTTTCTCTGACAGCTTTCAATATTCCATTCTTGTGTTGAATTTCTGGGATCTTAATTGTTACGTGTCTGGGTGTAGATATGTTTTGGTTATAGCTGGCTGGAGTTATGTATGCCTCATATATCTGAATATCATTTCTTTTTCCTGTGCTTGGAAAATTTTCCGTAATTATTTTGCTGAATAGCCTTTGTATTTCATTTGTGTTTATCCCTGATTACCATCTTGTTGTCTTCTAGTATTTGTATTGCTACTTCCTGGTACTTTGTTATTTTTAAGAGATGTTTCCTTTCACTATCACATATCTCTTCAAGTTTTGATAGTATATCTTTAGTTTCTTTCAAGCAGTTTTGCCAGCTTTCAATAGAGTTTTTAATTTCCTGGTAGTCTCTTTGAATATGTTTCATGTATTCTAGATTTTTTTATATTCTTCATCGAAGATTTCCCTCCTTTTTCTGTGTTCCTCCATTCTTCCATCTGTGTCTTCTTGAGAGGTGCTTAGTCTTTCTTTTATTAATCTTCTTATATCATGCTTTACTTGTATTAGTATTTCTGTTTTGAGTTCTATAATGTCACAAAGATATTTCTTACTGTCAGCTAATGCTGTTTCTGATATTGCATGTTTGCTGCCCTCAGTCTCTTCTGTGTTTACCTCTCCTGGACCCATATTCCCTGAGTTGGTGGCTGGAGACTTTTTTTTTTTTTATTTCTCTTGTCATGTTTCTGGTTTCCTCTAGACATGTGTAAGGTCCTAGGCCTTTTCTGTACTGGTTATGATTGCTCTGTAGAGTACTGGCTAGGGATTGCTGTCTTTTTAAGTTTGCTGTTGATCACTGAGGTGCAAGCAGGGCAAGTGCAGGTTGGCCCCTCCGCTCTGAGCCAGTCAATCAGCAGGTTCTTAACCAAACTTGTGTGTGCCTCATGGATAGAACAAGTTCATGGCAGTTTCAGGGGCAACTTAATACCCTGGATATTGGGGCCTGCCCAGGGGCATGACCCAGCCCAAGGAGTTCCCAACAATCTTCTCTGCAACAGGAGCACCCAACTGAGGCTGCTATAGTTCTGAGTTCAAGTCCATCCTGCCCGATCCATGATATTGTTCAGCTGCCCCCCCCCCCGCCGTTGGAGGACCAAATTCTGAGCACTCATCATGGGCCAGTGCAGATCTACATGATGTCTCCATTCTCTGTTGTAATGTGTCCTCCTGCAGAGGTCCTTAGGCTTGCCAACCCCCGACTTTAGAGCAATCCACCATGAGTTGTCAGAGTCCAGGATGCCTTGCACAGTGTGGGACCAGCTCCGGTGAGAGCATGTCCAGCTGCAAGCTTCCGTCCACACTTTTCTTTTCTTTTTCTTTTTCTTTAATTTCTTCCTGGGTCATGGTAAACTCTCTCCTTTCATCTGGTCTTCTCCATGGTGTTAAATTCTAGCATCTGAGCTGTTTCTCTCAGAGAGGCTCCTTACCTTGCCACTTATCCATCCACTATCTTCCCTGTGGACTGCTTTTTGCAGATGACTCTAAGCAGGATGTTGAGAGTGTAGCTAAGATACTTTGTGATGTCCACACTACGTTGGGTAGGTAAACAGCTGACCATTTAACAGTTTGAATTTGGTTATTAAGCTAGCAATAGTAGTGTTCATATTGAAGGAAAGGTTGTATACTTCTAGGCTCTAAAGTGTTTTCTTTTTTAAAAATTCTGCAAGAATATTTAAAGTAGTCATTCTTTTGTGTCTGAGAAAACTAACATTTCTCTGACATATGTGTCTTGCTATTTTCCCCCACTTTGGTAATGGTGAGAAGCAAGCACAATGAGTTCTTATTCAATGATATTCTCATTAGAAATATTTTTTTGCTTTGAAATCATTCCACACTATATGGCTAAGTTGCTTAAATTGCTCATAATTGTCATCCCTCTCCTTGCCTCAGCCTCCTAGACTGTAAAACGCAAAAAGGCAAGGGCCACTCTACCTGGCTAAGGCTAGTGCAATCAAAGCTTTGTCTTGAGGTGACAAGGGATAGCTCAGAGGGTGTAGGGAGGGTATGTGTGTTCATTGGGCCAAATCTTTGATGTTTTGAGTTCAGGTTAAAGAGGCCATTTATCTTGGTAAATGGGAAATTTTACTTTGTCTGATTTTCTGTGAATGGCAAAAGAACAGAAGTGCATAAAGTTTTACTGTTTCTCAAGAAAAAAAAAACAAGTTCAATAAATATATACAGTATTTTGTATTAATTAAAAGTAAATAAATTCTTTTCATAATCTTATTGATATGGTAATGTCCATTTCTAGTTTTATTTTCATTATATCTTGATGTTTTTGCTAATATATCATTATTTTTTCCTCAGTCTTGCAAGAATGTTTAGTACTTAAAGGGATTTATTACATATTTACTAATAAGTGACAAAGAGAGATCACAGCTTTTTATATCAATCTCATAAAACCTCTATGAGCTGAAAATATCTACTTTTCTTTTGAGCACATGGCACTCAGAGAGCTTGTTACTGAGATCCCTCTAGATAGCAGATGTAGAGTCAGGTTAACTTTAGGCATCAGTTTTATTCACCCTTGAGGGAGCAAGGAAGGGAACCTTGTTTTATTTATTTCTCTTTTTCTGGCAGGAGATAGTGATTTTGTGTGACATTAAATAGATGGCCCTCATCCAAGGGTGAAGGTTAAATATCTTCTGAGACTGCAAGAATTTTTTTTTTTCCTTCCACTGATATCTCTGTTAGTTCTGAGTCTGCTCAGACCCCCAGAAAAGGACAAATCTTATACAGGGCATGAGATGGAAAAGACAATACATTTCCTGAAGATCCCCTGCTTCCTTAACCCCTTTGCTCTTTCCTGTGTTACCCTCAATGGGAATTTCACCCACAGCATAAATCTCTGCCATTGCCAAATTGAAGCATTTCAGGGAATGAACTGTGCAACAGTCTGTGAACCATGAATGCACTTATCAGATTACTTCCTGTGAACAAATCCTGGTCACAATGGAGGAAAATCAGATTTATCTTCTGGTAGCATAAAAGTTTAAGTGATAGTGGAATGCAAAAATATAAACTGGTGCTTCAGAAAATCTGGTTCAGGTTGTTCCCTAGGTTTATCTAGTGGAAATATTAACCAATAAAGCTAAATTTTATTAATGTTACTAATATTACATGCCATTGTTTATGGTACAGAAGTAAAATTTACAGAGCAGGATATTTCTGTTCATATATCATAGTTGTTTCCTATTGTGGTACAATGCCTTTTTCTGGGCACAACAATTTTTTGTATGTGTATGATGAGGTTATAAATACAAATAATGTTCTTTTCTTTTGAATATAAATGATGAAGATGTAAACAGGATTATTGAAAGTAAAAATAATACAAAGATAGTCATAATTTTTGCTTTAATTCCTATTTTTGTACATATATTTAAGCAGTCATAATTTTTGCTTTAATTCCTATTTTTGTACATATATTTAAGCAGGTGTTCGTTTTACAAATGAATTATGACATGTGTAATATTTGAGTGACATGGTACCTGAACACACGTTTTTCTTGGGAAAGACAGATGGCTCTGAAATACAATAATTTGTCCGATGATGAACCAGATTAGGAGATAGTCAAATGAGTTGGTTTATGTAGTTATTTTCTGTTTATAAAATAAATTTTCTGTTGTTTTATGATTCATTTTATAATTTAACCTCAATAGCAGATTTATTGTAGGACCTTTTTGCTTAATGCCCATTTTTTAGCTTATATCCACTGCCTTCAGCAGAATCACTTTGTTAGGAAGATATTCTTGGTTTCTCTGATCTTACATCATGCTACTTTATTGCTTTTCCAGGACCATGTGCCCTCTGAGCATGAGAAACTACACCTCTGTGATCGAGTTCATCCTCTTGGGGATTCCTAATACTCAAGGGCTGGAGGACATGATCTTTGTTGTGTTCCTGACTTTCTATACTTTCTCCTTGCTGGGCAACCTGCTCATTTTCCTCACCATTCTGGCTTCCTCCAACCTCCACACCCCCATGTATTTCTTCCTGGCAAACCTCTCTGTGTTTGACATACTTTTCCCTTCTGTGAACTCCCCCAAGATGATGGTCTTCTTGTTGGGACAAAGCTACACCATCTCTTACCAGGGCTGTGCTTCCCAGGTCTTCTTCTACCATACTCTGGGTGGCACTGAGTGTTTCCTGTATACCGTGATGGCCTATGACCGCTTTGTGGCCATCTGTCACCCTATGCGATACACGATCATCATGAACCCCAAACTGTGTTTTGGCCTGACACTGGGCACCTGGCTGGGCGGCTGTGTCCATGGGAGTTTCCTCACCTTCCTCACCTTCAGGTTACCCTACTGTGGACCTAACCAAGTGCATAGCTTTTTCTGTGATATCCCCATGGTGCTTCCCCTGGCCTGTGCAGACACCTCCCTAGCACAGATGGTGAGTTTCACCAATGTGGGTGTGGTTGCACTCTTGTGTTTTATCCTTATCCTCACTTCATATATGCATATCATTTTCTCCATACTGAAAATCCGCTCCTCTGAAGGCAGGCACAGAGCCTTTTCCACCTGCAGTGCCCACCTGGTTTCCATCCTCTTGGCCTATGGACCTGTGATTCTTGTCTACCTCAAGCCTGCTTCCAGCCTTTGGCTAGATGCTGCTGTTCAGGTGTTAAACAATGTTGTAACTCCTTCCCTCAACCCAGTGATTTATTCCTTAAGAAACAAGGATGTGAAATTGGCCCTGCAGAAGGTGTTAGGACAAATGACCTGCCTTGCTGGGCTCTAAGGAATAGGGGCAATTTCTCTTTAGGCAGTTTTTTCAGCTCCAGGACTTCCTTTTTCATCATTTTACTACCACCAAGTATTAAGCTTGGCAAAGTTAACATATGTCATTACTTTTGAGTTGCGACAGTCATTTCATCACATTGAAATTGGGTTTACACCCATGAAGAACTATTTTTTAGGTTAACCCAGAATGTTTTCATTTTTACATTTACCAAAATGTGCTCAATATGCATTAGAACGTTGTTTTCTTTAGTTTTCATGAAAATGCTATTTTCTAATAGGAAACTGACTTCCTCACCAAACTTTCTTCTCATCCTTTTCAAATTTATGTCTTATTGTTTGGTAGTTTCTATGGAAGTGTCTCTTTTATCACTCAGTGAGAAGCTAGTAATTACAGTGGACAGGGTGAGAAATTCAAACATACGATTCTATAATTCGATAATATGTTTATACTATCTTTATAACTTCTCTGGCAACAGTCATCTGTTCCTCTTACAAAATAACTTGGAAATTTTTGTCTTTCATTGCAAAGAAACGGGTTGAATGTAATTAACTCTCAAGTAAGGAAGTGGCCATCAAAATATGGTTTAAAATGTGAGAATGGATTCGAGATGAGATATTGTAAAAATTTATAATTTTGTAAAGATTTCATAAGCTAGAAATTCCTCTCCATTGGGGAAAACCTCACTTTATGATAATTTAGTGTAACTATAGTTAACAGATATTAAAGCTTGAACATTATTTTTATATATTTTGAGCGTATTTCCAGCTCAATATTTCTCATTTCATCAAATTTATTTCAGAATAGAAAACACATCATGTTGGAACTTAGGACACTGGGAAGCCAGGCAAGCACCTCCTAGTAAGTGGTGATGGTCTGGCTGACTGCAGCTCTTCCAGGGGAAGAACCAGCAGCAGCTCCTGAGATCCATGCCATGTTGGAACTAAGGACGCTGTGAAACCAAATGACCATCCTGCCTCCTTGCTACTCCTTGTAGCAGTAGGTTCACTATACTGCTACATGGCCTAGAGTCAAATATCCCACTTCCCCTATCCTCCTTGACCATAGCAAATAAGGGGGACTTCCTTCTACCATTTCTTTGAAGGCAAATATTTTTGTTACTGTTTTGCTCTTTTCTGATTAATGGTACTGCTCTATTCATTATTGTTTTCATAAGTTCTATAGTGTTCTATCTTTCATCTCATTTTGATATGTGTGATTGAAAGAAAAACTATTATAAAGATAACAAAACATACTGTGATACCTATTACTGTTATCCCGGTAACCTGCTGTGAAGTTCTGTACCAATTTCACTGTATGATCTTTAGTATACTTTATTCTGACTTGTTCTGTTATATACTTTCAGTCAAATCAGTTTTGAATAAAATCTGTCAATACCAAACAGCAATCAAACAAAGCAGATTTAACTAAGATCAGTCATGATAAAACAGTATAAGTCATACAGGACTCCAGATTAAGATAATAGGAAATTAAAGATGATTATTGTGCTATATCCTGATGTTTTTTGGGATAGCTGTCTGTGTCTGCAAATCTAATTAAGTAGACAAGCTGGGACAGAATAAAATCTATCAAAAAATAAAATATAATCAGAGTGGTGTGAGTATTGTGGGTTTTAAATCCTGATACACTATTAACAATATCTTCTGTCATCTTTAAGACTCTCCCTCTCCTTTCACTTCCCCAGGGTACACTGTGCATTTTTGGGTCTGTTCAAGACCCTTGGTTTTAAATTGGGGGAGGAGCAGCCTACTATTTACCTAAGTGGTTCTGAACCTTCTCTCTTCTGGATCTCTAACTGTATTCCTTTACCTATTAAAACCTGTCTTTCCAACCTCTCCACAAATAGTGGTCTAGTTGCCCCAATTACTCTCTGGTTTTCTGTCACATAGAGCATTGTTTTCTCATATTTGACTTTCAGTCCATGTACTCTTTTCCATGTTAATTATATTTCCTATAAATAGCATCTTGGTGGACCCTGCCTCCTGATCTACTCCATGTGTAGTTCTTTTCTTTTAATTTAGTGTATCAAGGACATCTATATTAGAGACTATAACCAACCTTCTCTGCTTCATGTCTCTTGTGCTCTTTTTTTGCCATCAGTTATCTGCTTATCTTCTTCACTCTGTTTTCTGCTCCATTCATTGAGGCCTCTCTGCTACTGTTCCTGGAACCTTAGTACTTTTCTCTCTTTCTAGAATGCCTTACAGTATTCTCTGTAGAGTTGGATTGGTGGTTGCGAATTCTGCAAGTTCCTCTTCATCTTGGAAGCATCTTGTTTCTCTATTAATTTCTCGAGACAGTTTAGCAGGGTATATCAATTTGGGTTGGAGGTTGTTTTCCTTCAGTGCTTGGAATATTTCACTCCAGGCTCTTCTTGACTTAATAGTTTGTGTTGTGAAGTCTGCCATTATTCTGATGGGCCTTTCTTTATAGGTTATCTGTTTCTTTTAATATTCTGTTCTTACATTGAATTCCTGGGATCTTGATTATTATATGCCTCAGTATAGCTCTGTTTTGGTTATAGGTGGCTGGAGTTCTGTATGCCTCATACATCAGAATATCATTTCCTTTTCCTATGCTTGGGAAGCTTTCCTTAATTATTTCTGTGAATAGCCTTTGTAGATCCTTTGTTTGTACCCCTGCTTCTTCATTCACATTCTTTATTCTCAAGTTATAGATTCTTTTGTCAACTTCTAGTGTTTGTATTATTACTGCTTGTTTGCTTCTTATTTTTAAAAATGTTTTCCTTTCATAATCCCACACTGCACAACTGTCCTCCAGTTTGGATAATCGATCCTTAGTTTATTTCAATCACATTTGCCATCTTTCCATAGAGTTTTTAATTCCTTGGTAATCTCTTCAAATCTGCTTCATGTATTCTATATTTTCTTTATATTCTTCATCAAATGGTTCTCTCCTTTGTTTGAGTTCATCCCTTCTTCCATCTGTGTCTCCTTGAGGGGTGCTTAGCATCTCTTTCATTAATCATATCTTGCTTTACGTGGCTAAATATTTCACTTTTGAACTCATCTACGCAGTCCCAAAGATATCTCTTTATGTCCACTGGTGCCCTGTCTGATATTGCATGTTTGCTGTTCTCATTCTCCTTTGTATTTATCTGTCCTGGGCCAATATTCTCAGGGTTGGGACCTGGGAACTTTTTGCTATAGCTTCCTCTTCCCATATTTTTTTTTCTTCCAGGAGGCCTCAGTTTCTTTCTTTGCTGGTTACAATTCTTCTGAAGTGCACTGGCTAGGTGACACTTCCCACTGCAGTTGCTAGTGAGTTGCAAGCAGGGGCAGTGTATGCTGGTCCCTCCCCTTCAGTTCAGTCAAGCTGCTGAGGCATACACTGAATTACTCTGTGCTGCCTCCCCTCTGGGTCAGTCAAACTTCTGAGGCTTCACTGCATTAGTATTTGCCACTGCATTGGGAATTGATTTCGGATAATCTATTGGGTCTCAGCCAGATCTCATGACCCAGGCTTTGCTCACTCCACCAATCCCATACAGGAAGGGAACAACTGACTGAAGTCTTTTTGGCCCTTGTACTTTTCAGTTCTGCCAGGTCCCAGAATGTCATCTGCCACAGCCCCCTTTTTGTGGAATGGCTCCATTCCCCTCACTCACCACAAGTCAATGCAGGCTCCCCACCAGCTCAGCTCTCCATTCAACTGGCTGACCCTCAACCTCAGTGTGACTGTGCCACCAGTGAGTTGAAGTGGTGGGACTTCAGATGGCTTAGCAAGTCGCCCACTGTGGCCAGAGCACTGAACCTTTAGCTGTTCCAATAATAGCATGGGGAATGTATGTTTGAATGGTTCTTCTCACCTTAGTTTCTTCTTGGGATGAGAGAATTCATCTCCCTCTGTTTGGGGCTCCCCACTCTGTATTATGTTGAATTCTAAGTTGACTATCTTAGGGAGCCTCTGTAGGCTGCTGTTATCTACCTGTCATCTTTGCTCCACCTCCTATGCTTTAGTATTTAAAGTATTTTATATGTATGGACTGACTTAACTCACGGAATCTACTTTTGCAACACATTCTCTTACAAAAACTAAGAACTGGAACATATTTGCATGTGGGTTCTTTCAATCTACTATGTCATTCCTACAGCATCCTACCTGATAAGAAGAATGTAAAGATCCTAAAGTCTCCATAATGACAACTGTTTATAATTTTTTATTTGACATACATCCTCTGTTAATTTTCATGTATTAACTAATGAAATCTTAATCACATCTACTTTTGTCAGATGTGATCCCTGCCCTTAATTACACAGAATATAGATGAGGCAGTGGGATATTGATTAATTACCTGTAAACAAAAGTGATGACATTGGTGTGAGTGGGGAAACATAATAAATAACAGTCACAAAAATAGGCAGACCTTAAGTAATATCTTCAACTTTTCCCCACTGTGTAGTAATATCCTTTTATTCATTAAATTATTGGTTCATTATTTAACTTAAAATCATTATCTGGGTGGTGTCAGATGGGACCTGGGTAGAATGTCACATAAATGGCCCATGTGAAGATTAAAAGAGGAAAATTAATGAACTGCATCTAGCTGTCCATGAAACAAATCAAATGTGTCCAAGTAATCAGTTGCTTTATCATCAGTTACTATTGTCATATTGTCCTGCACAGACAACTTTACTTTCTTTCTGAGTGGAAGTTCTTGCCTCCTTTGAGCCGCTTACAGAATTGTATTAGGTTATGACAGTGTAAAAATTTACTCTCAAACTTGGAAATTTAGAATGCATTTTTTCATTTAGGTTTTATTGGGTTTAATTGGCAAGAATATAGAAATAGCTTAGCTAGATGGTCTTAGCACACAGGTAAGCATCACTCAGAGCGTGCGTCACTCTGTCTCCCAGGGAAGTAGTTATCTGATGCAAGATCTGTTGGCTCAGTTAGAGAAAACCTCAGGTCCTCACTCACTGTGTGGGCCTTTCATTGAACCACATACAAGTCCTCAC